GGGTGTGATAAGCAGATTACTTTGCATTCTTCGGTAAAACAAAACAAACAATAGATTGAGTCTTCTAATTATGTTCTGTAATCACAGGATCACGCAGCCAAGAAAAATCTGGTCTAATGATTCAGCAGTTGCAGGAATCTACGAGGCAAAAAATGAAAGAAACCAAGGAAATCAGGGGCACCAACAGGCTGGGAGATATAAGGGAAAGAAGAAACTTTTGATTAATATTTGAAAGATCTAGAGTCTGACTTCTGCTTCTGGAAGTGGTAACTTAGTAAGATGCAAGATCAGTCTTCCTGCAATTTAATCTCTAATCTTCATCTCACATTCACATTGATTCTTACATATTCCAAGTATAATAGCATGTAATCATGAAGAAATTATTTTAGGATTTCCAGTGGCTTATTTTTCAAGCTATACCAAAAATTTCTTCTATCATACATATCAGTGAAGGATATACACAAAGAATAACAGCCAATGTGAATGAATGCCTGAAAGGCATAGTGGCATACTTAGAAAATAATGTTATTAGACACTCCTTTGTTGGTGAACTAGACAGTTTGAAAATGCTCTATGCATATCCTGGTTTGTACAGCTATTTGCATCCCCCCGATGCTTCTACTAAATAATATTGCATTCCTTGATAAAAAAATCTCTATACATATCCAGACACTATAGATCTCATCGCTCTAGAGAGTTGAGGCCAGAATCTATTTTTAGGCTTTTAGCCAACTGTTGGAGGCTTCTCTGGGTTTACCTTATAAGTGGATCCCTGTGATACTCGCAATATTAATCTCACCTACATTGACAGTACAACTTCCTATAAAATTTTACTATCGACAAGCATTAATTAGGCCATGCCTGAAATAACATAATTTGAAGTGGAAAATTAAACAATAAAAGTATTCTATATCTTATCTCATGTATTATCTTCTTGAATGACAGAATTTTGAGCTCAACCAAGTTCAAATTGTAAATATCTTGAAATGTTGTTTGGTTTTCTTTGCTCATGACAGTAATATGATTAGTTTCTTCTGCAGTTAACTCATCTCTTATGATCTGTTAAGTAAGGCAGGCAGAGGAAGGAAAGTATAATGCATGTAGAGGCTAACTTCCAAGTATCACTACAACAAGTGATCATGCAACTGATCCATTACTGGAGTAGTTTATCTTAATCCATAGTTTATAAGAACTCTACATTGTCCCATAAATACAGCAGCTCACACAGACTAGTTAAAAGGCAAAGGTTAAACAAATGAGATTTACTTCACTTCACTTCAAGATTATTAGAACATTACTAGAAAGTTATAGATGAGCTTACAGATTCTTGAATTTCCTCCTTGACAATATAAAAGGGATCTTGAGCTGAAGACATCTTTAACACCAATTCTAGAACGTTTACCTGTACACATCACATAATTGCAACAATATCTCAAATTGCTTAAACCGTATTATGACTATAGAGACACAATAGTAATTTAGCAAGTAGGCTTTCTCCAGAAAAATATGAAAATTATCAAAAGGATGAATTTCAAAAAAATTACACTTATTACACGACCTGATCCAAATACAAAACGAGATCTGAAGAAATAATCAAAAAGAAGAAAGCTTTACCCACTAAAAAATTATATTCAGCGATTCATTTGAGTTCATCAGAATTCAAACTAAATTGATCCACGTTGATAAACGTGGAAGATAACTTATAATGGTTTTATTTCGGGAGAGAAAAATCTGAATCAGAGAGAGAGATAGAGAGAGAGAGAAAGAGAGAGGAACCTGCTGCTTGATTTCGTCGAATGGCCGGAGAATAGACCGGAGAGAGCAGGAGACGGTGGGAGTAGTAGTTCTGAATTGGCCACCAACTTGGGCTGGTATCCATTAAAGGCTGATGTGCACTACATATTTGGGCTTCTCTAGCCCAAATACAACAACTCAATGGGCCCCTTGATTGCATTCAGGGTTCGTCAAAATAGCCAAGCTGATCAGTTATCGGACTGGTAATCGAAAAAATAGCTTGCGCCTATGAAATAATTGAAAAATAACTAGTATTATTCAATACGAAAATCAAATTTACACAATAATACCCTTAGCAAAATACAGAAAAAAAATCCAACATATTATACTATATTATGAACTACTGTGTATAAACTCCAACACATTGTGCTAGAGTTTAAAGACATCATATATGTGAATTTTAGTATATTATGCTAAAGTTCTAACTTTTCAAAGTTATTTTATAGCATATTATGTTGGAACTCAAATAAGACACCATGTATTTGAATTTCAACATATTATGGTTAAGTTCAAACTTTTAGAAGTTATATTCCAACATATTATGATGAAACTTCAATAAAAGATACAGAAACTTAAATAAGACACAATCCTATAATTCTAATTTCAACTTTCGTTGAAGTTCAAATGATAACAACCAAAATACAATAACAAGAATTGGAACTTGAATAACAAATAAAGAAAGGAAAGCAAGATACAAATATTGATGAGAAAGTAGCAATAATCTTTTATTTATCTATCTATCTATATTATTATAAAAGCACGAATAATTTATGCTAAATGTTGAACGACTAAAATAACGTTGAAATATTGAGCGACTTTTATAACCTTAATTATTTGTATAATTTAAGGATATAATTATAAATTACCTGAGGCTGATTTTTCTTTGCATTTAAACTACGCAATGCTAAATAGCCGACTTTGGGTCAAATTCTTTTTCTTTGCGGCATACTTCTTCTTGCTATCCTACTTTTTATTGGACAATATTATTAGTTCCTGCTTTTTGTTGGACAATATTTTACTTCTTCTCCAAAGTTATTATTAGTTCTCTCTATTGTTCTCGTTTTTCGTAATTGAGTAAATTCTCATTTTTCGTAATTGATTAATGCTCTAGGGTCATGTATATGAATTAGAGAGAGAAACAATGACATCTTAACTTTTATTGTAATTATTTTTGTGTCGTACTTCTTTGCTTTTCGGCATAGTTTTTAGTTTTAGATATCAAAATCTTTTACATTGGCGTAGTATTATGTTTAAATTGTATATCTTTAGAGATTAATGATTTGTGTTATTTCAACTAATGTTAGTGTAACAATATTAATTTTCATCTATTACATAATATTTTGCAGCTTTTACTTATATATTGCAGGTATTTCGCGCCGCGTAATGGAATCAGATTTGGAAAAATAATGTGTCCCAATAAATAACCTTAAACCTTATGATATTGATTGGGTAATTAAGGTATTGGTTATTCGAAGATGACCAATAATAAAATATAAGAACGACAAAGAAGAGGGTTTGCCTTGGCATTTAACATTTGTTGACGAAGAGTTGGCTTCTTTTGTATATTTTTTTAATATAATTTGTACTTATTCATATTATTTTTAATTAATCTAAAATTATTTTTATATTAATTTATAGGGGACAAAGATCCAGATAGTACTTTTCAATGAAAATGTTGAAGATTGGAAAAATTTATTTCAACATAACAAAAGCCATTACATTATAAATGGTCACGTGAAGGCTACTAATTCTACCTATTTATCTGTGCACAAGGAGTTGGAAATATCTTTTAGAAATTATACTACAATTATGGAATGCACCAAGCACTTTTCGACCACAGAATTTTCGAATAATTTTCTATCTTTAGAAGAGGCAACAAAATCCACCATCATAACATTATTTGGTAATTTCCTTCTCGCTATCTTTTGATAATACATTGAATACTTTTATTTTAATGTATGTATGTAACGACTCGTCCGATCATTTTGAGAGTAATAGCCTTGATCCCCTATTTTCTGCTTTTTTTCGTATCTATTTCTGCTTATGTGACTTGTCGGGAGGTCTTGTTTTTGGTTTCGGAGTGTTTTGGGACACGTAATCCCTAAAACGGAAGCTTAAGTCTTAGGATTTTGGCCGTAGTCGGAATTGTATGAATACGACTCCGGAATGGAGTTCTGTTAGCTCCGTTGGGTGATTTTGAACTTAGAAACGTGTCCGGACTGTGAATTTGAGGTATGTAGCTAATTTAGGCTTGAAATGTCGAAGGTCGAATTTTTGGAGATTTTGACCGGAAGTGGACTTTTTGATATCGGGGTCGAATTCCGATTCCGAAAGTTGGAGTAGGTCCTTAATGTTGAATATGACTTGTTTTGCAAAATTTGAGGTCAATCGGACTTGATTTGATAGGTTTCGGCATCGTTTATAGAATTTGAAATTTTAAAAATTCATTAGGCTTGAATCCATGTGTAATTCGCATTTTGAGGTTGTTTGAGGTGATTTGAGGATTCGACTAAGTTCGTATTGGGCTATAAGACTTGTTGGTATGTTTGGTTGAGGTCCCGGGGGCCTCGGGTTGGTTTCGGGTGGTTAACTGACCAAGTTTCGAAGTTGTAAGCTTGCTGAAAATTTTTCACTACTGGTGTAATCACACCTACGGAGTGGGAACCACAAGTGCGTGCCCGCAAAAGCGGGAGGTAAGGCGCAGAAGCGGCCAAGGGAGTGATGCAGCAGAAGGTCGCAGGTGCGATAGTTTTCCCACATCTGCGGCAGAAGGGCCTTGAAACGGATTTGGCCTTGAAGCTTGACTCCGCATAAACGAGTCCGCTGGAGCTGAAAAAGGGACGCAGGTGCGGAGTTAGATGCAGAAGCAGGCTCGGGGGCGTACCTGCGAGACCTCAGAAGCGGCTAAGTTGCTGCAGGTGCGGAAAGCTTGGGCATAAACTATAAATGCGAGACTTCGAGATTTTTCACCATTTTCACCATTTTCACCATTTTCACCATTTTAAGCTCGAACTTTGGAGGTTTTTGAAGAGATTACTGAGGTAAGCTCCTTGTATTTATTTTTCTTCAATAATGATATTTTTCCACTGATTTACCACCTAGTTGGTGTGTTTTTGAGGTGAAATTTGGGAGTTTAGGGCTAAAGAATTGGAGAGTGAATTTTGGGGATTTGGATGATCAAATGGTGTCGGATTTTGATAAATTTGGTATGGTTAGACTCGCGAGTGAATGTGCTTTCGGGTTTTGTAAATTTTGTCGTATTTAGAGATGTGGGCCCGGGGGTCGGGTTGAGCCTATTTCGTATTTTGGCTTATAATTTTATGTTTTTCTTGTGGAATTGATTCCTTTAGCCTATATTAATTATATCGTACTGCTTGTGGCTAGATTCGGGGCATTTGGAGACTGATTCGAGGGGCAAATGCATTTCAGAGTAGGATTTTGCGCAGTTTGAGGTAAGTAATAGTCTTAAATCTGGTCCTGAGGGTATGAAACCCCGGATTTTGGTATGATGTGATTATTTTGGAGGTGACACACATGCTAGGTGACAGGCGTGTGGGCGTGCACCGTGGGGGATTATGACTTGGTCCGTTCCGTGAGACTGTAAAGTCGAATAACTTATTGTTATATACAGGTTCCATCTGTCTTCTAGAAATTTGACTGCCATTCATATTAGAAACCATGCTTAGGCCATATGATATCACTGTTGGGACCTATAACGGTCGGGTACTTATTGAATTAGCTGCTATTTGTTGTCTTGTACTCAATCACAGTTTTACTTGCGTGTCATATCTCAGTTTCCTCTTGTTTTCTTGTTGATACTTGTTATTATTTCTTTTGGGCTGATTTGTATGATTTTTGAGAACCCGAGAGGCTGTAGAGGTTAGTAACTGAGATAGGGCCTGAGTGCCGAGCTGTGAGCTATGTGAGTGTATATGGACCAGGTTGCACGCCGCAATGAGCTTGGGGGCTGAATGTATATGGATCGGGTTTCACGCCGCAACGAGCTTTATGGCTATTTATATGGGATCGGGCTGCACGCCACAACGATATAGCGCTTGGGCTGAAAGAGCCCCTCCGGAGTCTGTACACCCCCAGTGAGCGTAGATACCTATTGAGTGTGAGTGTTGAGGGCTGAGAGCCGAGTGATGAGCTATTGAGAAAGAATGAGTGATTGTTGCCCTGAGAGGCGGTATTTGCTTCCATTGTTGTTGCACATAGTTGTTATATGTCATTGTTTTAAAATTTCTGAGGGATATTATATCAGAATTTTACTTGAACTTGGTATTTATAAATTGATTTGACATAAACTGCCGAATTTGAAAGCAGGCCCACTTTCTTGTGGGGATTACTGAAAATGAACTATAACTGTGTTGCTCGTCACTATCTTTCAGTTCCTTATTTATTATTTTTACTTACTGAGTTGGTTGTACTCACGCTACACCCTGCACTTCATGTGCAGATCCAGGTGTTTCCGGTCATAGCGAGTGTCGATATTTGAGCAACTGATTCCGGAGACTATCAAGGTAGCTGCATGGCGTTACCAGGCCTTGACCCTCCTTCATTATCTTTATCGCATTTCAATTCTTGTTCCTTAAACTTTGTATTAGACTGCTCCTGGTATAGATGCTCATGTACTCGATGACACCCCGGTTTTTGGGATAGATTGTATTGTGATGCGAGTTTATTTCTGTTCCATAAAGGTTTTCCTTAAATATTAATTTCTTCCGTCTATAATTTTAAAGTTTTTACTGTGTTAAGATAGTGAGTAGTGGCTTGCCTAGTACCATGATAGGCGCCATCATGACGGTTGATTTTTGAGTCGTGACAATGTAAGTATTTCACATATTAATTTCTTTAATAGTTACTTTTGTAGCTTGATTTTTCTTTATACTTTTCAGAGACGTAATCTGCATACCAATAAAAGCAAA